CCCCAAAACCCCAAAACCCCAAAACCCCAAAACCCCATGATTCCTTAAATTGGAAATACGAAGATAAAAAGAACTATTAAATAAATTAATAAAAATAAATATTACTAATTGTCGAAGTAGATGAAATCAAGATATATCTCACTTGCCACTGTTGTCAGTGTTATCGCATTTATCAATGCATAAAGCTCAGAAGTTATATAACAATAGATTATTCCTTAATAACAATGTGATTCAAAATGTAGAAGTAGCTGTGTTAGCTCAGGATTAAAAGATACCTGCTTAACTTAATGTGGATGCAATACCTTGAGTCAGGATCTGATGGTGACGTTTGCCAAGCAACAAAACTGCTAAAAAGACTGCAAATCAACATGTGTGGGGGATTAAATGACTAATCAAGAGATGATCAAGTGTCAAGTTGACTGTCACAATGGATGCAGCCAAGTTTGTCAGTATATTTGCGATATTAATGATCTTGGGCAGGAGTGTAACCAAAATTGCATCATTTAATTACCAGCAGCTGAGTAAGTGAGATAACTTGAACAAGTTCAATCTGCAGAAAACACTCAAGTCTTTGAGAAGTTACAAGAGGGACTATATGAATATTAAGGTTTATTAATCATAGGCTCCGTAGCTATTATTGTAGCCTTAGCTATCTATAAATTTAGAGAGTGCTACCCAAAAGAAGTTGAAACCGATTACCAATGGTACGGAAAGAATGACGATACTAGATAGACTGTTTACAAGAAGGTATTTGGAGAGAACTTCTCAAATGATAACACTTAGGTGATTAACAAGAGCCCTAGAAAGTATGACGAAGGTTTTGTGAGAATCCTCTGATACTCAAAACATTGGACTAAGTCAACATAAACTATAAGAAGTTCGAAATCTGATTAATTATGGGAGAAGTAATGAATGATTTCCAATCTCATCTCTCCTAATTAGTTAATATAAAAAAGTTTAAATAAAATATTATTCCAATTTTTAAAAATAAAAGTTTTTGCTTATGATAATTTATAATCTAACACTTAAACTACAATTTCACATTCTGATTATGTCTTAATGCCTTGCATTCTGCAGGCATTTACACATACTTAATCCTTAATTCTGATTAGAATTTCCTCTCAATCTTATATTTCAGAGTCAGCAATTTCAGCCATTTTGTTTAATATGAGATCGGTCAATTTTTCTATAGGTTGTTCTTGCTGTTCCTTTAGAATTTGCTAAATCTCATTTTTAAGTTTAGTTCTGAGTCTCAAAGGGTCTGCAATACTCAGCTCTGATTTATTCCTAGAATTCTTGCTTTAAACTTAAGCTGCACATTTCATATTATTCTGCAAAGAACTATTGATACTTTGAGTGACTTATATATCTCTGTTTATGAGTACTCCATAATCTCTTGAATTGTAAAGCTACTTGTTTGACTTAAACTTAGATGATTAAGTTGAATTGGTATTCAAGGAAAGCATTGATTATATGGATGGCCTTACACACTTCTTGTAATTAGATAGATCTTTCTTTTTTGTTGCAGAATTCTCCTTCATATCAACTGACTTACAGGTTGAAAGTGTTTCACACTCAGGATTACTATCGATAAATTGTCTATAAAGCTAATCCATTTTTGATTTATGAGATAATTTCAAAGCTGGATTGTAAGAATTCAGCTGTATGTCTTGGAATACAGGAGTCTCGCCATTAATTAAAGTTGGAAGACTCTATAATTGCTGATACTGTTGGCTTTAATCAGCCTTAAAGCTATTCTCTTCAGTATAGATAGCTATTTTATATTTACGATGGGAGAGAGATCTATTTTCATAATTCATACGCTAATCATAGGATTAGTTTATTTTACTGCAAACTTCCTCAATCAAACTCAATGTATCTTTTTGCTCTTTAGTTTGCTATAACTTAGTATTTCTTCCTCGGGGTAATTATTGGTTTTAATTCTGCACGTATTTCTTAAGTTTATGGAGTGATGATTTTTACTTTTATGACTAGTTAATTGAAAGCTTGCTTCCATTTTATTCCTCATCATTTTGAATTTGATAAAATTGTAGTGATTTGAAAGCCATTGAGGTGTTCAGAGAGTCACTAGGGTGATTTCTACACTACTCTTAATCATTATCAAGTTCATCTTTAGAATCATCTAATGAAGATGGACTAAAATTTCTATCAATATGCAGTCTTACATTGAATAAGCTATTTTATCTTCTCATGTAATTTACTTAATGTATATTATGCTTTGCTGGTGAGGTTGGGATATTAAAAGTAACACTCCTGTGTTTTCTTGCTTCTCTTTGTGATTTCTTAAATGAAGTCCGCAAAACTCTTTCATTCTAGACCTCCTATACTATATCTCTTTATCTTCTCATTTGTGATTTAGGGGCATAATGAAATTTAGATTGTCTGATAATCTTAGGGCTATTTTGAAATGAAATAACTTGGGAAAACTGAGAGTTCTAAGAGTCAAGAAGCTTTTGTGGTTTACAACTGAGCTGCATTAATAGATAAAATTTATTAAGAAATAAAATTTAACTTATAGGTTTAAATATAACATAATCATCCTATTCAATCTCTAACATCATAATTCAGCTTTCTGTTTTATGCTTTTTATAGATTGCTAAATTAAGCCAGCATTAAAACTTTTCTTTACAAATGACTACTCATTATAGTGATCTCCAATACTACCTGTATATGCTTTCTCAACAAGAGCCTACTGCAAATAAGTCATTTCAGATCTTTTTGATTTTTTAAAAGGAGATGTGCCTTTCTATGAACTTTTTTGCTTATCGCTTGATATTGAATCATGATGATCATATGTTCCTGGTCCAATTCTGTCTAAATAGCTTACTGTCCCCCCTTTTAAATTGAAAGGTAATTACTCTGGTTGTGGGTCTCTTGAATCTCTATTAGGAAATTCTATAACAACAGTATTTTCTCCATGACCTGTACCCAAAATTGGACATTTATTATTAGCCAAAACTAGATATTATTTACTCTAATGTTTAAATCTAGGAGAAGAACTGCCATTAAAGGATTTATTGGGATTTTTCTATTTCAGCTCGTCAGTAAGCTGTTTCCTTTAGCCTTCAATATCCTAATATCTTTGCTGATTTATGACCAGATTCTATTCAGCTAAATTATATTCCTCTTACTTTTTAATGAAAACCTCAGGAAACATTCTTGAAGTTCTACTTTAAAACATACTACTCTACTTGTCTTAGTGACTTAACTATTTTTATAGTTAATCAATTAATAGCTATGCCTTTAATGTTGGCGAGTCATTCTTGTTTTATTCAACTTCCTATTTCTTCACTTTAAATCTTGGTGTTTAAGAATTGAACCCTACTGATTTATTCTTTCGGGGTAATCCCTTATTTCTACTTTCATCTTTCATAATTGGATCATAGTATCCAGGTCCAGGGGGTCCTAGAAGTAGCTAACTATCTCTTTTTGGGTCATTCACTTCTATTTAGATAGTCGGTACATTTTTCAATCCTTAACTTGATGTCATGAATTCTTTATTCTGACTTTCTAATGTTCTCTATTGCTGTAAAATTTTTCCAGGACTACTTATCATATTAAAATCAGAGTATTGTTTTAAGGAGTAGTAGCCTGTAGATGGATTATTTTTAGAAGATTATTCATTGAATGGGAATTTAGGATTTCTTGTAAAAATATCTGTATTTCTTTCTGAGTAGGAACCAAAGTTGACTTTTGATTGAATAACTCTTTTCATCACATTTGTTTGCATATCAAGAGGGAAATCCTAAAGATAGCTACCAGGTCCTGGAGTAATGGAATTAGCAAAATTAGTACGATTTGAATTAGAGGCAAATTAAGATGATTTATTCTGTGCATGCACAATATCAAATGAGTTGTTTAATCTCTTAATTTATCTATCAGCTTTATTTTACTTGGCCTATTCTTTTTCTTCCCCCAGTACACTATACAAGTAATCTTCAACCTATTTTTTAACTGAGACAGTATTGTTTGATGTAGCCTTGGGATTCTTAAAAACTTCTTAGAGTCCTGGTGGACCAAATGTGGCACTTGGTGAGTTTTTTAAAACTAAAGAATGTTTAGGATTATATAGCCCTGGTCCAACATTTCCTCCATCGATTGAAGTATTATAATCTGTCATTTCTATGCTTTATTAGCTTATTGATAGATTTTTGAAATGATTTACCGTTGGTGATTTACCTCCAGAAATTTTCTTTGATCTGATATTCTTAGTAGCAGGCTTTTCAAATTGAACTTATTGCTAAACTGTCTAGTTCATCTCATTTTTCATTTAATTTGCTTAAACACGGCTTATTATTGTAGTTTGATAGATATCGTCTGGTGCATAAATTATTTGAGCTGCTATATTTTAAGATGCATCTCTTAAATATGCTGGAGATAACTGCTTGTCTCTAATAAATTCATTTACACCTTCTATCTTTTATATCTGATTCATACTCTTCTCTAATTTGTTTCTAATTGTAGAAAATCTCTCATTATCAATATTTCTTTTACGCTCATATTTTTGCTTTACTTCCCCAACTAAACCAAGTTAAGACTCTCTTTAGTCTTAAGTTGACTAATTCATTTACTCTTGTTTTTAAATCGAAGTCAAATAAGAAATTTTGGGGCTTCTACTCTTAAAGCTTGATGTGTTGCCTATCACTCCAGTCCTATTCCTTGTTAAATGTTGTAAATCAGCTGACAAGTTATAAGACCCTGGACCAGGTAATTATCTCTTAATAAATGAAGATTGATCCCCTATTTGATGATTCTTTTCCATTCCTGTCCCAAAAGGGATATTCCCATAATTAAAACTCTCTTTATTGAGAATTACCTTTGTCTTAAATGAGTAATAACCCGGACCAACTTGATCTTCTTCTTTTTTGATTTTAGAGCGAAGCCATATGTCTGTATTTCTCACACTTTTATCCATTATAGCTAAAAATATATAGTAATCACATAAATAAAATATCCTTAAATTATTGCCATTAATTCTATACAACACTTAGTTGAAGGGGTTTTGGGGTTTTGGGGTTTTGGGG